ACGCCTCCCGTGCCGCATCGTCCCGAGGCCAGGGCGAGTCTAGGTTATAGAGCGTATTATAGTAGCTCTGGAAGCATGTAGCAATATCTGGAGGCGAGGACTCTACCATGTTTGTTGCTCTGCGATACCTTGAATGTGAGAGCGGGAGGCGCTGAGTGCGGGTCGCTCTTGCCAGGAGTTTCCCACACTTATTGCCACCCTCGTAGTAAATACCGTTTCTAAGAGTGAATACCCTGCGGAGTTTGGTGTCCAGCATGGCAGATAACTATTTCCTTGCATCTAGGAGTTCGAGATAGGTCCCCGCCGCCAGAGATTCCTTGTGTTGGGATTCCAGCCTCGAGACGCGGCCGCACAGAAGCCGCAGGCGCTCCAGCCTATCCCTCTTCTGCTTGGCCGCCATCGAAATGAAACGGCCTCGGACAACGCATTTGTGAGCCTCCCAAACCATCATCCGGGAGGGAAAACTGCCAGCATTTATCTCAAAGTAAGTGCGCAAGTCCGTCTCAATGGTGGATATGACACAAGGGTCTGCCAGAAGGGAGGAGTTCAGTCTCCAGGTGGACTGGCGGGGGGTTGGGGGTGTAGGGTTAAAGTATTGAGGAACGGTGTGTGGTCGGACGTAGTAATGTTACCGATGTGGGATTTTGTTATCTTTGGTAAGTCTCGTTGTGTGACGAAAATGTAGTCAATGCGGGAGTATTTTGAGTGAAGGGGGGAATAGTATGTGAAATCTCTGCCATCTGGCTGAAGGGTGCGCCACGCGTCACAGAGGCTGAGGGTTTGAAGTTTAGATTTTAAATATTTAAACGGCCTATAGGGCATGGACGATTTCTTCTCTAATGTGTCTATCAAGAGGAAATCAAGAACTGCTTTATTAAGGAAGAGCACACAGAGTTTCTACCTCACAGGATCAGATAAGCATTCATTGTTACATCGAACAGTCCCCTCCCCCAGACAGTTAGGTGCCGCATTGGATTGTCTTAATTAGAAAAGAGCTTAATCCCATCACTGTAAACAATGGCCCCTCCAGACAGCCTGCTGCCTTTACTGAACACAGTGGTGTGTCCGGTATCAGAAAGCCGGGCGGTGAGTCATTATACTCCGCCCGGCCTTCATGCTCCCTCGCCACGAGGGAGCATGGAGCTGGTTTCATAGCCAATCAGGAAGCTGGGGGGCGGGTAATTATTCCCCCTCCCCCCGACTTCCTGATTGTCCAGGAAGTCGGCTCCACGGCCAATGGTCGGGAAGCTGGCCAATCAGGAAGTCAGGCAGCAAGTCATTGCCCACCCCTCGGCTTCCTGATTGGCCAGAAAGCAAGCTCCATTCTTACTCGTCACCTGGTGGCGAAGGAGAATGGAGACGGCTTCCCGGCTATTTAGGAAGCTGGGCGGCGAGTCATTACACGCCGCCCGGCTTCCTTAGCGGGACTTCCTGTATCGGCGTGTACCAGAAGAAAAATATCGGCACTGGATACCAAAAAAACGATATCGGTGCATCCCTGCCGAAAACCATTGGCCGTACATTTCCTGACTACCAAAATAAGATTTTGAATATTATTATGAAAATCTCATGACACTTTGTACAAGACGCTCCTCTCCCTCCACGTACTCTGTCCACTTTGCCGATGAAGCAGTACTCTGAGCGGTTCCTCCAGGATGAGCAGCCCAAGTCCAATCTAAGCAAGTTGCCATACGGTCCACACAAGCTGGGTCTCCGGCAGCATGTTCAATTTTAGAAATCTTTATCTGAACACGGGTCCTTTGACACCCAGAAGTGTTTCAGGACCTGTGTCACAGGTGGGGATGCCAGATGTGGACTTCCAGTGATCCAGGTTCAACAACAAACTAGACGGGTTTGTCTGCAGAGATCCTTGTGGCGGAAGGAAGCAGTGGATGTTCTGGTCACTCCATAGTACCAGTACAACCCGATCTATGCTTTTCCTCCTCTGAAACACCTTCCTTATCTTTGGATCAAGATGGAGGGCATTCCAGTGATCTCAGCTGGCCCAGAAATATCACATTGGCTCCTCTGACATCTGTCCAGGCCACGGACACGGGGCAGCACCATAGCTAAGTAGTTCATCCTCTTGCTTTGCAGATCTGGGTTTCGTTCACACCAGTAGAACACTGAGGCTCATGGAGTGTGTCCAGAGCTGACTCTGATCTGGAAGTATTGGTGTGAGCGCCATTGTGTCCAGGATAGACTTGGATGACTCCATCCTTCTTGCGCCTCTGTACACGATACTACATTTTAAAAGGGTAACAATGACGGAGCTATGCTGCGTTATACAATAAGGAAGATAAAAAAATCAGTTCACGGTAAACATAGTGCGTTACATCACCGATACAGTCTGATATTATAGATACATTTTCCGCGAATTATCTATCATATATTTATAATACAAATATGATTCCAGCTCAGGCTGGGTACATGGGGACCCCCCTTTCTGTCCTGGGAAGTTGTCTGTCCCCTCTATGGTCATTATTCTTCTCCATACATCCAGGTTGGAGTCACCACTAGAGGGCAAATGTCTGCCATGCGAGAAGAAGTGTGCTCAGTTCTGGAGGGGTGGCGGCCATTTTGTTGTAGACCAGAATAGGAGGAAGAGGAAGGATATATTACTCCTAAAGTCCTGGTAGGGATGTGACAGTAGAGAATGTGTACCCGGTGAGGAAAAGGTAATAACGTCTTCTTATTATGATAATACGGGGTCCCAACAATCTCTGAGATCTGGATGGAGGGATCGTGGGATTGGGGGGGTCAGGTCATGTCCCATAAAAAGTACTTAGGTGGGATTGGTTCATCTAAAATTGGGCTCTGCTTCGGGGGGTTCCCGGGAACTTTCTTATTAGTCATTCTGTAGATATTGTGACTTCAGACTTCAGTTTTCCTTTCTTCTTTTATGTCTTCACAGCAACTTGCCTTTTTCCAACAGCGTGGAGCCTGTCGGGGTCAGTCATGTGGTGAACGATGATTCTGCGTTCTTTATAGGAATTTAGAAAAAGAAAGTGGGAGGATCCATCTTTTGGCCCCACCATATATATTGAGAGAGCTACAAGAGTGCAACTGTGATAGATGCCTCAAGAAAGGTGAGTTGTGTCCCCCAAAACATTGGACGCTTAGTAAAGGGGAGACCCAAAACGAAGACAAACACCTCAAAAAATATCACCTGATTGAAGATGGAGACGGAGCGCGGTCACATGACTGAGAGGATATTAAACCTCACCCTGGAAATCATCTACCTGCTGAGCGGAGAGGTGAGGAGGATTCTGGGAGGTCACATGGCATCACTCTTATCTCTATTAATAAAACACAGACCTGACCGGAGAGGAGGATTCTGGGAGGTCACATGACATCACTCTTATCTCTAGTAATAAAACACAGACCTGACCGGAGAGGTGAAACTTATTGTAATGAGAATTATGTTGATGAATCGGGAAAGTTTCATCTACTTTGGATGGTGACATAAGTTGTGTTTTGGCTTTTATTATATAGAATTATATCGCTTTCAAGTTGTCTGATGGCTTGGTGGCTTCCAACATGATGAAGATCCAAAACCCTGTTATAGATCCTCCATCTCACTCCCTGAGAAAGACCAAGAAGGTGGAAGAAGTCACCAGCAAGATGATTGAGCTGCTGACAGGAGAGGTGAGCGGTGCCGGGAATTCTGGGACATGATCCAGGAACAGACAAGGGATGTGTCTGGGTGGTGACTGTATCATTGTGTGTGTCAGGTTCCTATAAGGTGTCAGGATGTCTCTGTCGATTTCTCCATGGAGGAGTGGGAGTATCTAGAAGGATACCGGGATCTCTACAAGGATGTCATGATGGAGAACCGGCCGCCCCTCACATCACCGGGTAAGAGGAGACTTTCATTTCTTGAGTATTGAGGATGCCCCTAGATACACACATCCTCTGATATAAAGACATAGAAACAATGTATTCAGTCAGTGTGTGTGTTTCCTACAGATGGATCCAGTAACAGAAATACCCCAGAGAGATGTCCCTGTCCTCTGTATTCCCGGGATTCCACACAGGAACATCAGGAGATCCCTCAGACCCGTCCTCTGTATTCCCGGGATTCCACACAGAAACATCAGGAGATCCCTCAGGCCCGTCCTCTGTATTCCCGGGACTCCACACAGGAACATCAGAAGATCCCTCAGACCCGTCCTCTGTATTCCCGGGATTCCACACAGGAACATCAGAAGATCCCTCAGACCCGTCCCCTGTATTCCCGGGATTCCACACAGGAACATCAGGATGATCAGGTAGATGGAACTTAGCATCCTAATGATAACTAATACTATGTTTCATTCTGAATCATAATGTAGATAATGTCCTCTGTCTTCTCATACTTATTGTTCCGGTAAGATGACAGGAGTTCCTCAGCAGATCTGGTGGAGGCTTTTCTATATTTGAAGTATCTTACTTTGTGATCGTTATTGAGGCAATACTGCTTTTATGTTCAAGAACCGTTTTATCCCCGTGTAGGGTACACTGGACGTACACTGGATTGACTGTAAAACAGAAGTTAAAGAGGAGCCAGAAGAGCCGTATGTGAGGGGTGATGAGCCGTGTAAGGAGGAGGAACGTTCTCCAGAGATCAGCACAGGTGAGTAATAAACACTAAATCCAGAGAAGAGTCCCAGATTCTCCTTGTTCACTCTCTATAACAATCTCTTCTTCTCCCCCCTCCTCTGTCAGTAGACAGTAATGGGGGGACGGAATGTGTCTAGTGGGGGGAGTCAGGAGCCATCAGCCTCTATTAGACTCCGGCTCTCCTTCTCACATCATGTCATTGTGTGTTACCAGCCAAGAGACGTGACCAGTCTCCCCCCCACACACACTCTCTGGGGTCTCTCATACATCTCAGTACAGGGGGCTTCACTCTCATCTTTATTCACAGACCCCGGAGACACTCAGAGAAACATCAAAGTTGAGAAGACGGCAGAAGAAATACACCGACGGACTCATACAGGCTTTCCGCCGACGGATCCGCACAAGCCGTACTCCTGTTACGAGTGCGGGAAAAGTTTTAAGAAAAATGCTGGCCTTCTCCGACATCAGAGAGCTCACACAGGGCAGAAGCCGTTTTCATGCTTGGAATGCGGGAAGTGTTTTGCTATGAACACAGATCTTGTACAACACCAGAGAACTCACACGGGGGAGAAGCCGTATTCTTGTTCTGAATGTGGGAAATGCTTTAGTCAGAGGACCAGTCTTATTTTACATGAGAGAACTCACACAGCAGAGAAACCATATTCATGTACGGAATGTGGCAAACATTTCATGCACAAGTCAACTCTCACTTTACACCAATGGACTCACACAGGCTTTACACCGACGGACAGGCACAAGGCATACTCCTGTTCCCAGTGCGGGAAATGTTTTATGAAAAACGATAGCCTTCTCCGACATCAGAGAGCTCACACAGGAGAGAAGCCGTATTCATGTTCGGAATGCGGGAAAAGTTTTGCTATGAACACAGATCTTGTACAACACTGGAGAACTCACACGGGGGAGAAGCCGTATTCCTGTTCTGAATGTGGGAAATGCTTTAGTCAAAGGGCTAGTCTTGTTTCGCATGGGAGAACTCACACCGGGGAGAGGCCGTATTCATGTTCCGAATGTGGGAAATGCTTTCGTGAGAAGACCGGTCTTGTTTCGCATGAGAGAACTCACACAGGAGAGAAACCATATTCATGCTCAGAATGCGGGAAGTGTTTTGCTACGAACACAGATCTTGTACAACACCAGAGAACTCACACAGGGGAGAAGCCGTATTCCTGTTCCGAGTGTGGAAAAAGCTTTACTCAGAGGAACGGTCTTGCTTCGCATTGGAGAATTCACACTGGGGAGAAGCCGTATTCATGTTCGGAATGTGGAAAGTGTTTCAGTCAGCACAGCAATCTTACATTGCATAAGAAAATTCACACCAAGCAGAAGCCGTCTTCATGTTCATAACGCAGCTTCCATTCAAGCTTGAGGATACCATGCCGTGGTATTGATGTGGCGCACGCCACCTTAAAATTAGAACAAGAGCCAGTTTCTGTTACTAGTCCGAGATCCCTGAAAGGCCGCAAGACTGTCACAACGTTTCTGGGTCACTCCCTACTTGCTTTGAACGGTGACTGATGAACAATTCACTCTTCCCACACGCCTAATAGACCAATACCAATAGACCAATATCCCGGCTTAATACAACACTGAACCCACTGAGCATGCACCAGTGTTGAAGGATCCCATATGCAAACGCTTTCCAGATCATTGTCTCCGCTCACAGGTCCTTGCTATCTCCCCGCCATACCTGGAATGTGTTCAACCTCCGGGGAATGGACCAACCTGATGTCGAGGAATCTGGCTACCCTTCCTGATCCGGTCTTTGTAGAAGGTTTAGAGCTTATGACTTCGGCCCGATACTATGACGTAGATGGATTAGTTGGCATTGTCCCAAAGGAGTCCCTATCAGTGAATATGCAGAGAACTCTTTGGCTTCTCCAGATGTACAAAACGCACGCTATGCATGTCTATTGAAGGTCTACATCTTTCTGGTTCCTCTTCGGATGCCCTCATAGGATGCCATGGGGGGGGGGGGGGGGTTTTGCTATTTGTGTATCTGGTTCTTGTAGTAAAACCAAGGAAACTGACCCAATAGTATTTGTTTGCGTTTTTACTATACAACAAAAGTACTACATCAACCTGGCCACCAGGATTTTGGTCAAGACCTTCAGGTCATAGTCTAATAATGAGATAGGAAGAGCAAGAGGTCATCTCAGAGAAGAGATCACCTTACTCAACCTAGTCACCGGGATTTTGGTCAAGACCTTCAGGTCATAGTCTAATAATGAGATAGGAAGAGCAAGAGGTCATCTCAGAGAAGAGATCCCCTTGCTCAACCTAGTCACCGGGATTTTGGTCAAGACCTTCAGGTCATTCTTTAATAATGAGATAGGAACAGGGCCGTCTTTAGGCGCCCTGTGGAAGAAAGCTTTAGAGTGCCCCTCAGTGACCACATCCCTCTCTGACCACACCCCTCAGTAACCACACCCCTTTTCCCCAATAAAGACTCCCATTTTGTTAAGCCCCAAAGAAACATTAAAAAGTATGATAAAACTAAAAATGTTATTCAACTTGTCGTCACAATATAAGTATTCTTATGAAATAAAACAACAGAAGGCAAACAATGAATGTCAAACTAAAATAGAATCTATAAAGATAAAGTGCCCGGTTGTCATGCCGATCCCTTTTTTCACGTCAATATATCTAGAAAAGTAAAAATAGAAAACAGAACACAAAACCCGGACTACATGGAAATGAATGAATTACTATATGTCCGAATATACGAAAAATGTAATCCGGCACCTAATAATAATTTGTTTGAGAATGTGCGGCGACTATGTTGACCACCAAATTGTGTGTGTCTTACTGCACTCCTTACCGGATCTCCTAGGAGATGATGTCTGTAATAGGGTGCTTGTGGCGACCACAGAGGCACCGTGTAGTCAAGTAGTAATTCCAAAAGATGTCACCAGCACTCCAAAAGTAGATTCAATACATTTTAATGACAACGGTCATTCAAAATCACAAGTACTTTCGGGGGCCACGTTGGGTCCCCGTCATCAGGCTCAGAAGGCACATTCTCCAAATGCATGCCACCATCTTGGAGGCGGGGAGCATGACGTTACATGACACCATGCATGCGTAACATCAGGTGACGTCACACGCCGATATTGGCCCCACCATCTTGGTGTATACCTAGATATACACCAAGATGGCGGCGCCCAACACGTGCGGTGTCATATGACGTCATGCGCCCCGCCTCCAGAACACGCCAATGGCTGAATCCAAAATAGCATAAAAATTTGTTTTGTTTGATGAAACGAATGAAAACGTTTTTAGTTTTCGTTCAATTCATCTGAAATGAAATTTTTAGTCTTTGCACATGTCTAATAATATGTGTGTGGGGGGGAGGGGCAGTTTTCACTTTTTAAAAATCATTTTTTAAATTTTTTTTTCTTTTTACTGTTGGGGGGCTTCGGGAAATATTAGGGGTCTAAACAGATCCCTGACATTTACCTTTCAAAATAGAAAAGAAATTGAGGACACAAAGTCCTCAATTTCTTTTTCTGCATCCTCTGTTCTAAATGAATAGAGAGCACTCAGTACAGAGGCTCCTCCTATTCATTCAGAAACTGATGGTTAAAGATTTACTATCACCCGTTTTTGAATGGGGAGGAGCCACTGAGTGCTGCTCCCCATTCAGAAATTCATGAATGAACAGGAAGTGATGTAAATCCCATCCTATTCATTCATAACTGGGGACACATAGTACTATGTGTCCCCAGTTATTTACAAACACTGGAGTGATCACATAGGAGATGACAGCGGCGCCGCTTTACTCACTGCTCGGCCATCCTGAAAGCTGCGGTTTCTCTCCTCCTCACCGCTCAGCCATCCAACATGACAGCGCTCCCTCCTGATTGGCCGGGCTTACTTCATGCTCCCTCGTCACCAGGGAGCATGGAGCTGTTTTTTACAGCCAATCAGGAAGCTGGGGGCGGGTAACGATTCCCCCCCCCGGCTTCCTGATTGTCTAGGAAGTGGGCTCCATGGCCAATCAGGAAGCAGGGCGGTGTGTAATGACTCACCGTCCGGCTTCCTGATTGGTCGGGAAGCTGGCCATCAGGAAGTCAGGCAGCGAGTCATTGCCCGCCCCCCGGCTTCCTGATTGGCCAGAAAGCCAGCTCTATACTTACTCGCCACCTGGTGGTGACAGAGAATGGAGACGGCTTCCTGGCTATTTAGGAAGTGGTGCGGCGAGTCATTACTTGTCGCCCGGCTTCCTTAATATGACTTCCGGTATCTGCGAGTACCGGAAAATAAATATAGATATCGAAAAAATCGGTATCTACTGAACACCATTGGCCGTACTTTTTTTTACAAAATAAGATTTTGAATATTAATATGAAATCTCATGACACTTTGTAAAAGACGCTCCTCTCCCACCACGTACTCAGTCCACTTTGCCGATGAAGCAGTACTCTGAGCGGTTCCTCCAGGATGAGCAGCCCAAGTCCAATCTAAGCAAGTTGCCATACGGTCCACACAAGCTGGGTCTCCGGAAGTATGTTCAATTATAGAAATCTTTATCTGAAACAGAACACGGGTCCTTTGACACCAAGAAGTGTTTCAGGACCTGTGTCACAGGTGGGGGATGCGGGATGTGGACCTCCAGTGATCCAGGTACAACAACAAACTAGACGGGTTTGTCTGCAGAGATCGTTGTGGCGGAAGGAAGCAGTGGATGTTCCGGTCACTCAGTAGAACCAGAACCGCCTGATCTATACTTTTCCTCCTCTGAAACACCTTCCTTATCTTTGGATCAAGATGGAGGGCATTCAGGTGATCTCAGCTGGCCCAGACAGTTACATCACAGATACGGCCCAATATTATAAAGACATTTCCCCCCAATTATCTATTATATTGTTATAATTCAAATAGGAAAAAAGGTACATGGAGACCCCCCTCTGTCCTGGGAAGCTGTCTGTACCCTCTATGGTCATTATTATTCTCCATAGATCCAGTATATGGAGTCACCACTAGAGGGCAATCGTCTGCCATGCGAGAGGATGAAGTCTCCTCAGTTCCGGGGGGCGGCGGCGGCCATTTTGTTGTAGTCTGGAAGAGGCGGACAGAGGAGTTTTTATGTGAAATAAATTTCCTGCTGCTTTGTGTGGCCAGTGAGGAGGAGGTGGTAATATCGGCTTCTTATTCATTCTTATTAGCAATTTCTATAGAAGGGGCTGTCTGTGAGTTATTGGATCACGTGTTTTGGATAAAGTGGAAGAGCTGAAATTCAGGCAAATATCAAATCTGGGTCAATGTAGCCATTTTGTTGTAGACCAGAATAGGAGGAAGAGGAAGGATATTTTACTCCTAAAGTCCTGGTAGAGATGTGACCGTAGAGAATGTGTACCCGGTGAGGAAAAGGTAATAATGTCTTCTTATTATGATAATACGGGGTCCCAACAATCTCTGAGATCTGGATGGAGGGATCGTGGGATTGGGAGGGGGGGGTCAGGTCATGTGCCTTATATAAAGTACTCAGGTGGGATTGGTTCATCTAAAATTGGGCTCTGTTTCGGGGTGTTCCTGGGAAATTTCTTATTGGTCATTCTGTAGATATTCTGATTTTAATCACGTGTTTTGGATAAAGGGGAAGAGCTGAAATTCAGGCAAATATCAAATCTGGGGCAATGTAGCCATTTTGTTGTAGACCAGAATAGGAGGCAGAGGAAGGATATTTTACTCCTAAAGTCCTGGTAGAGATGTGACAGTAGAGAATGTGTACCCGGTGTAGAAAAGGTAATAACGTCTTCTTATTATCATAATACGGGGTCCCAACAATCTCTGTGATCTGGATGGAGGGATCGTGGGATTGGGGGGGGTCAGGTCATGTGCCTTATATAAAGTACTTAGGTGGGATTGGTTCATCTAAAATCAGGCTCTGTTTCGGGGCGTTCCCGGGAATTTTCTTATTGGTCATTCTGTAGATATTGTGACTTCAGACTTCAGTTTTCCTTTCTTCTTTTATGTCTTTTCCTTCACAGCAACTTGCCTTTTTCCAACAGCGTGGAGCCTGTCGGGGTCAGTCATGTGGTGAAAGATGATTCTGTGTTCTTTATAGGAATTTAGAAAAAGAAAGTGGGAGGATCCATCTATTGGCCCCACCATATATATTGAGAGAGCTACAAGAGTGATCCCTGCACACGATACGGTGATAGATGCCTTGAGAAAGGTGGGTTGTCCCCCCGAAACATTGGACGCTTAGTAAAGGGCCCTGGCAGAGCCAAAACGAAGACAAACACCTCAAAAAATATGCCCTGATTGAAGATAGAGAAGGAGCGTGGTCACATGACTGAGAGGATATTAAACCTCACCCTGGAGATCATCTACCTGCTGAC